ATATAAGCCATTCAGGTAGTGGGCCAGTGTAAACAGGAAACACAGGGCTGGGTGCTTCGTTGTGAGTCTGTGTGCGTCATTGTTTTCAAATGTGTCTGCGTCCTCAAGTCCACAGGTCAACTCGGCGAACAAAGCTTTTGAATATCTTTGGCCTGGAAGTTTTCAGCTATTTCTTTTCTTTTTTTTTTTTGCATGTAAACAAATCTTTTAAAAAGTGTGAAGAGGCTTAGGCTTGTGAATAAGGTCACAAACGTAAAAGCTATAGTCTTACTGAGAGTAATCTGATTAGCAGGGAGTGGAAACCTGTGGATCAAACCTACTGAATATAATATGATAATAATATAATCAGGATTTTGTTAATTTTTTTTTTTTATGTCTGAATGACTCATATATCGTGCACACCTTAAAAACTTGAAAAGACTGGGAAGTGACAACACCCTAACAATTCACGTGCCAACAAAGAAAGGCAGGAAGAAAGATGATTCAGAAAACAGAGGAAGTTGGTAAAAAAAAAAAAATCAACCACAACCTAAAGTGCAGATCTGGATATGTTTTGAGTGTGTTCAGTCACTTTTGCTCGCTGCTGAAGGTGAAGTGGCAATAATGTTTTTGCCTGTTTGTGTGTGATTGTTTGAGGCAACAGGTGGATTTGAATAAAACTCACAGAAAGTAATTATTAGATGCACAGCTACAACTGAAGAACTTTTGGAGGTTCCTTCCATTCAAGTCAAATCCAGTTCAATTCAGTTTACCGGTACTTATACAGCGCCAGGTTACAACTGGAGTAATCTCAGGGTACTTGAGCAAACATGAAGGCGACAGTAGAAAGGAAAAGCCGGTCAAAGCAGACGGCCACTTGTCCTGAGCCTGGTTCTGCTGGAGGTTTCTTGCTTTTAAAAGGGAGTTTTTCCTTCCCACTGTTGCCACTGTGCTTGCTCAGGATGGGAGACTGCAACAAAGCCAAGATTCAACTTGTCTGCTGGATTCCTTAGATAGAGAACTTTACTAATTGGCTTTTCTTTGTATGTGGATGTTTGTGTAAAGTGCCCTGAGACAACTTTGTTGTGATTTGGCGCTATATAAAAAAAAGTGAATTGAATTGAATTGAACTGAAAAACTCCCTCATGAGGAAGAAACCTTTAGCAGAACCAAGCTCAGGACAAGCGGCCATCTGCTTCGACCAGCTGGGTTTGAGAGGAACAAGAAGGAGGAACAGATACACAATGGCAGATCGAGAATCAAATGTTAAGATAGTATCAAATGAAAACTATTCAATTGCAACAATTCATTTTAAGAAAGGTTAATAAGGTAATTAGTCTAAGCCTATAGCAGCATTACAAGCCAACCCTAACTATAGGATTTATCAAAAAGGAAAGTTTTAAGCCCAGTCTTAAAACTGGACAATGTGTCAGCCTCATGGACAGAATCTGGAAGTTGGTTCCACAAGAGAGGAGCCTGAAAACTGAAAGATCTTCCTCCGATTCTGCTTTTCGAAACTCTAGGAAACTCAAGTAAGTCTGCAGCCTGAGAACAAAGTGCTCTGTTAGTAAAATATGGGACAATAAGATCAGTAATATAAGATGGAGCTAGGTTGTTGAGGGCTTTGTAGGTTAGAAGTAAGATTCAAGATGAAAAATCAACTTTAATCAACAGAAAAATGACTATAACACAGTTTTACAGATACTGAGCAAAGGTTTGTGTGGCAATAGCTGAGAGTTATGATATACTATGCATTCCTTCAAGGAATATCCAGTCTTTAATTTATTTACTGAAGCTATCCTGAAACAGCTCTAAATGTAGATATTTTTGCCTGTGAGTTTGAGCACCTGACCCATTTCCTCAGGGTGTGCAAATATTTGTTAAATGTCAGGATAATGTGAGTCATCTGACCAGAGATCAGGAATGGAAATAAAACTCTGATCAGTCTTTGTGGGTGTGTGTCGGTCGGTGTGTGTGAGTACGAATGTGTGCTTTACTCACTTGTAACACTCCCTCTGGGCGTTGTAAGTACTGAATGTGAGAGGCTGGCTTTGTGATTGCAACTGACTCCATCATCATTATCATCTAACAACCTTTTGGGGGTACCATTGACCCTCAATATGAGGGGCTCAGTGTAGGTGTGGGCCACATCTGCAAAACAAACACACACAGGTACACATACAGTTAGGAAACATTTACATATATCTTCTAAACAGACGAGGTGGGCGTGCTCATTGAGTTTTCTAATTTTCTTACATAAATTCAAAAAATCGAGAGAAGATTTGGTTCCATACTTGTAGAATCTCTAACTTCCCATCCACCAACAGTTAATTAATTAGGAAAGGAGTTTTGCTGACTTCAACAAAGCCAGATTTGGTCCGTGTGTTGTGTGCGCGCTGTTCTACACGTCCATCTGGAAACAGTTAAATCCAACCCCTCGTGGCTGTTTAGGGGTCCATGTGAACGCTTGTGAAACCTGAAATCTGTGTAGCGCTGCATTGTGTGCATGTGCACCGGTATGTCTCTTTAAAATGAACACATAAGAGGACAGAAATACAGTAAATATATGTCTGAGAGTTTTATGCGTTCAAAGACATGCGGTCCTCTAATGAAGCTGTTTTTAAAACAGACACACACATGCACACACACATGCACACACACAGACAACACAGAGGTCTTCAAAGCAAAACAGGCGCAGGCCTCTGAGAGGTGCAAACTCATTCCTGTCCAAATGGGAGCCAGCTGGGCTTTATAAACACACACACATACAAACTGAGCCACGTCCTGTGCATGGACTCAACACTTCCCGGCTATGTTTATTTACTCTATCCGCTCTCTCTCACTTCTCTATCTGTCCCCTATTTCCTGTCCCCTGGCCCTAACACCGCTCGTCTCTATTTCACATTCCTCTGCACATCTCCTTGAAAAGCCAAAATAAAACTACTGTTCTTCAAAGACTTATTCGTTTATTTTTTAAACTATGGGCGTGTGAAATGAGTAGTCAGTATCTTATCCGCAGCAGACAGTGGTCAGGACATGTTTAGTTTGAGGAGGCAAGGACGGTTTGTTTCAGAGGAGCCAAGTTAACTGATACTTACAGGTGCTTCTAAAAAAGTTAGAATACAGTCGTCCCTCGCTGTATTGCGGTTCACTGTATTGTGTTTTTAAACCTAGTTTCTTTATATTGTGTGTACTGTACATGCTGTGCAGTACTGCACATTCATGTCATCGTCATCATCTTCATCGCTATAGCCCAAGTGTTTAAGAGCATATGAAGTGTTCATAAGAGAGTGGGAAGGGTTTATAAAGCCTTAAAATGCATATAAACAATAAATAAACGCTGCTACTTGGTGTATTTTGCAGTGGTCTCTGGAATGTAACCCCTGCAATAGGTGAGGGACCACTGTACTGTGAAAGTTATTTTTTTGTCAGTCATTTCAGAAAGTGAAACTCATAGGTTCATTACACATAACGATAAATATTTTAAGCCTTTTTTTCTTGTAATTTTGATGATTATGCCTTACAAATAATGAAAAACTAACGTTCAGTGTGTCAGAAAATCAGAATATTCCACAGCCAGCTTTTGGTACCTTTGGCAGTGTGGGCAGAAGTCCTGCTGGAAAATGAAACCAGCATCTCCATGAAGCTCGTCAGCAGAAGAAAGCATGAAGTCTCTAAAATGTCCTGCTAGATGCTGCGTTGACTGTGGACTTCAGAGAACACAGTGGACTAACACCAGCAGAGGACATGGACCCAAACCATCACTGACTGTGGAAACTTTACACTGGACTTTAAGCAACATGGATTCTGGGCCTCTCCATCCATCCATCCATCTATCCATCCATCCATCTATCCTCTTTACCCTCTTCTTCCTTTTTGGATTGCAGGGGTCACTGGTGCCCATATCCAGCAATCACTGTGGCAGGGGACACCCTGGTCAGGTCTCAGTCCATCACTGGGACACATGGAGACAAACGAGACAAAAAAAAAAACATTCACTCTTTCACTCACACCTAGGGATAATTTTAAGTTACCAATCAGTCTAACATGCATGTTTTTGGTCTGTGGGAGGAAAACGAACTACCCGGAGAAAATCCACGCATGCACAGAGCGAACATGCAAACTTCACACAGAACGGCCCCCAGCTGGGATTCAATCCGGTGACCTTTTCGCTCAGATGCAACAGCTCTACCAACTGATCCACTACAAAAGTGTCACTTTCTGAAATGATTAACCATTTTTATTTGAACCTTTTCACAACATTTATTTTTTTAGATGCACCTGTAGAACATGATCAATTTAAGATACTTTTTTTTTTCTCTACCTAAAACAACTCAACATCTAAAAAAAACTCCTTGCAGTACATGTGAGTGCTGGGTTGTGGACTTTTACACAATATCACTTTTGCATCAGATGGTTATTAAAAGAATATCGTTGTTGCAACATGGCCTGAGGTCTGTAGAAGTGGCTTTACAGCACTGTAATGCAAAACAGACCCAGTTAGTCTGTTTATTCCAAATTCTCCCGTCTGAACATTTTCCATATAGCATTAATTTATGATCTGCTGTAAAAAATGCTGTTTAAATTGTTTTGTATAGAAAACATAGGCTTCCCTTGGTGGCTCTCTTTCTATTAAAAGTTTCTGCATCTTGGCGTCCTCACAACAAATCCTTGTTGCTTCTCCAAAATAAATTGTGCTGACTGCTGTCTACCTCTGGTAACAAACAAACTACCCACAAAAAGTGCTTAAAATCAAGCAAACGTGAGCACAGGCGGTTTCTAATTAAGAACCGAATTAAACACACTTCTCCTTTTTTGTTCGTCATTTAGTACCAGAAACTGTGGAACAGGCATGTTGTTCATAGCTCTTATTTGTAAAAGTATAAATACATATTTGAGCACTATTGTGCTTAAAACCACCAAATGTTTGTTTTAGAAACTGGAAATTTAACCACATTGTAAGTGGGGGGATGTCATGGGAAAGCTGTGTGCCGGTATCTTAGTTTGAATAGATTTTGTTTAACTGTAAACTTTTCTACAGTATACGCTGAACTAATGAGTAAAAACTTTATTCCAGGGGTGTCCAAACATTTTCATATTTGGTCCAAATCTATCCAGATGAAAGAACTCATGGGCCACAAAAATGTGAACTTAACTCTCAACGTGGACAATATTTTGGAGAAAGGACAAAAGTTTACTAATTTTGGTGAAGAAAGAATTTTAAATTGTTGTAGATCCAAAAAGTTAAAAGCCTCATAAACACAAGTTTATATTTTTCTATCTAAAATTATTTGATTTATTGGATTTGATGTGTCTATGTTTGTTGTTTTCTTGTGTTTGGAAAGTTAATTTTAGTCTGTTCTCAGCTACAAAGGCATAATTTGACCAAATCTCCTTTTAAAAGTGGGTCGATCAGCCTTTTGGACCATGGAAGGCCCAAAAGGTTAATCAAAGTTCTGAAAAACTGTCCAGCTGTCAGTTACTACAACAGATTCATTGTTTGATAAAGTTGATCAACTTGTATGTAGATGATACCACATTATATTCATTGAAAAATATCCAATTTCCCTCTTGATTATTTTATCAGCTGCAGTATTTAGCCAAATTGTATGAATCTTTATCCAAAAGTCTTCTTTCTGGTAGAAATCAGTAAAGGTTTTTGGTGTTTTGTACCATGAAGTGAAAATAAAACCATTATAGCCAAAGGTTTGTATTTTGCTTCATATTGCTCATTTTGAAAATATATTTTTTTCATCTATTTTGCTGTTAAACGTAAAGATTATAGAAAAAAGGATTACCAACAAATTTGCAGAAAGTCTGCACTGACCTCTTAAGCCTGCTGGCCAAAATGATACCATTCTTAAACTGCAGTTGTGGGCCACACCAAATCACTCCAAGGGCCGCAAATGGCCCTCGGTCTGCACTTTAGACACCCGTGCCTTATTCAGTTTACCATTCGTTACCATCTTACACTATAAAATGCAATATATTAAGACAAACAGCAATGCACTAAAATTCTAATGGGCATGAAGCAAACATGAAAACTACAATAAATACTGTATACCACAATATGCTGAAGCTCAAACCCAGGATTATTAGTGTGCAGTGATTTGGTACCAGAGAAGAACATAACTATACATAAATGTTTCAATCCACCATTTTTAGCAAGTAAAGCCTCAATTATCTGATCTTGAACCTCTTTGTACCTCTGTACAGTAGTCTGTTATGCATTTAGATTCAGCCAGTGCGGTGTTATGGGTTAAAAGTGTTTGGGTCTCGTGACTTAACAAGCTTTTATTTTGTAAACCTTCAAACCACAATTGTTGGACCTAAACATATTCCCACCAGAGCCATAGTGCCATACAAGCACGCCTTCAGTCGATTGTGTGTTGCATCCACATCAAACCATCCAACCACTCGACCTCAGAGACATTTCTGAGATCTGAAAAAGATGAGCCTCTAATCAAAATCAGCGCAGTGCAATCAGGAGCTGCTAAGAGGAACTAGTTGTGTGTTTGGGATGAGTGTGTGTACATGTTTGTGGACGCTTATTGAAAGTGAATCTGGAGTTTGAACACATGTCAGCAGCCCTGAAGGGGTGACGCAGAGGAATTTCAGCCTTCAAGTAAACAGCTACCCCATTAAAGCAAGAGCATATGGATAACATAGGGCAATGATTAGTTTAAACACAAAGCAAGCACACAAGCTCTGTTTAGATGAGCCGGCGAGTGACGTGACGTTTCCTGTATCACCTGCAGGGGAGCACATCCCGCTGTTCCTTTGGCTATGATGTTCGATAAGGAGTGCTGGTTCACAAAAAAAAAAAAAACATTTAGAGAGCTCAGATGAGTTTTCCTGTTTTTCTTTAAACGCCCTGAAACGTTTCCACAGGTCCAAAATGAACTTGTGTGAAATGTGGGGTGTCACTACTGTGTGAGCACTTTCCCACCACTCACTGAAGGAAATGGTCATACACAAATTCACCACATGTGGCATTAAAGTTGAAAGCTTTTTATATAGTGTCGTATTTTTTTGCTTGCTTGAAAGTCTAATGGAGCAGTTCACACCTTTTTGTTCTGAAATAGTGCAGGAAGGTTATGGACAGTTCATTTCTTTTGCACTTTGAAACCTCAGCTTGGAGAAAAAGTTGA